ATATGAAGAATGGCATAGCTTCGTTATACCACGACCATATGAAGAATGGCATAGCATTATACCACGACCATATGAAGAACACCATAGCTTCATTATACCATGACCATATGAAGAATGGCATAGTTTCATTATACCATGACCATATGAAGAATGGCATAGTTTCATTATACCATGACCATATGAAGAATGGCATAGCTTCATTATACCATGACCATATGAAGAATGACATAGCTTCATTATACCATGACCATATGAAGAATGGCATAGCTTCATTATACCATGACTATATGAAGAACACCATAGCTTCAATATACCATGACCATATGAAGAACACCATAGCTTCATTATACCATGACCATATGAAGAACATCATAGCTTCATTATACCATGACCATATGAAGAATGGCATTGCCTCATTATACTATGACCATATGAAGAATGGCATAGCTTCCTTACCAGGAAGGCTAGCTTGCTGGTGTTCCAACTTTGCTCAATAATGAATAGGTTAATTCATTAAAATAATTAATAATATCACATTTTTAATGTTATTAACCTTTAGACTTCCTGTTAAGCAGCATGATGAGTGGGGGAGGTATTTATCGTGCGAAAATTTATAAATAATATGTTGTTAAATAAATCACACCCATATTTTGAGGTGTTCTGACGTAAATGAAGTCTTATAAAAAATATGGGGAGTATTTGTTTTTTATTCACTATTTTGTTATTTATTTCAAACACTATATATATATATATAAGTGGAGCATTCCTTTTTATCATTTTACTTGGTTCTTTAATCAGGATACAAGGAGGTGTAGACAACACAGACACACTGTCTGATCTTTATGCTGTCCAGACAGGCACACCAGGCCCTTATCAACTGGGAGGCATTTAGCTCTAAAACTATGACTACCAGTTTTAGAACCAAGGCAAAGAACATAACGAATGGACATCATCCAGTGTTAGGCTCTCACAAACAATGCAGATAAAAAAGAAAAAAAGAAGACCTCTATAATAAACTGCAAGAACTGTCAAGGCAGGAAAGACATAACCATCTTGATGGTATACTTCAATACAAAGATAGGAATATATAACACCAGCCATCTTGATGAGGTACTTCCATTGAAGTCTCCCATCAAGATGGATGGTGTTATCTGTTCCTATCTTCGTATTGAAGTACCCCATCAAGATGGCTGATGTTATCTGTTCCTATCTTCGTATTGAAGTATCCCATCAATATGACTGGTGTTATCTGTTCCTATCTTTGTATGGAAGTACCTCATCAAGATGGCTGGTGTTATATATTCCTATCTTTGTATATAAAGAAAGGAACTGATCACACCAGCAATAAGGAAGTGGTGGGTAGAAGTGGACTAGGACAGATGAACGAGAACAGCGAGGTGTTTGCTGACTTCTGCTTCTTGAACAATCTTGTCATTATAGGAAGTGAATTTCCACAGAAGAACATACATAAGACAAAAAGGAGATCATCGGATCACATCATTGAGAATCAGTAAGATCATATGTACATCAAACAGAACTCGGATATTCCTCACAGAATGTTAGGGTGAAGAGAGGAGTTGATACAGCATCAGATCATTAACTGGTGCTGATCATTCTGAAGCCCAAACTGAATAAGTATCAGACTATAGGTAATGAAAGAACGTGACTCTTCTGAAGGACAAGGCAACGGTAGAGTCAGCCTTAACAACAGGTGCTAAACAAGTTTAGGAAGAGGACTGTAGGTCAAAGATGTGTATGATCAGAAGAATCAATTGTAGAAAGAAATATGAATGACATACACGCCATGACCAGGAAATTGGCAGAGAAGTATCAGCAGATAGGTAAACCAAAGAGGATAAATAATAAAGTGTGTTGACATTGGAGCACTTCAAACAGCTTCTCAAAAGACCAACGCCAAAAGAACCTCCGTCACACCAGCAGAAGTAACTCTATTTGTAAATTATTACAAACCTAACAGGATAGAAATCAGGCAAATCAATTTGATACTCAAAATAGGGAAGGCATCAGATCCTGATACAATATCAGCAGAAGATATTAAGTCATATATCGATACAACCATAGACGTTTTCTACAATCAGTTTCAGAAGGTTTGGAATGAGGAAGAAATTCCAGAAGACTAAAAAGAAAGCAATTTGATTAAACCTTCAAAAAGGGGGAC